GGGGGTTGTCATCCACAGTGGCCACTTCATGGTGTCGGAGCTGAACGCCGAGGCGGGAGCGGGGCTCGAGGAGCAGGAGGAGGCCGGGGCAGCCTCCCGGGTGGGCGGCAGCAGGGGTCAGGGGTAGGCCCCCGGGGCAGCAGCGGGAGCCAAGCCCGGGCAGGGGCAGGGACAGGCGCCTACAGCTTCAGCGCGGTGGATGAGGGCACCCGCCAGACCTACCGCTGTGGCTCCTGCGGCGCCCTCAGCATCGATGCCTCCCTCGCCAAGCTCTTTTGAGTGCATGACCTTGGCCTACAGGTGAGGGCAGGCAGGAGGAAAGTCACAGACCGGGCTGCCTGGCGCTGATCGGCCTGACACCCAGGAGGGCAGAGCTACAGGGCACAGCCTGCCCTGGGCTGGGAGGGCAGGCGTGTCGGCAGAGCCGTGGATCAGGGATCCTCCTGAGGCTGGAAGAGCCAACGCAGAGCTCCACGTGGAGCTAGAAGGTCGCACATTGCCTCTGACCGTGAGGGCCTGTGTTGAGGAAAGGCATCCTGACTGGAGCCTGCTCTGAGGCTGTTGCTCAGGGTGGGGTGGGAGCCACCCCAGAGCCTTCCCCCACCACCACCACCACCCTGGGGCACCCACCAGGTTGGGACTCTGCACCTAGAGAGCTGCTGGGGTGCAGCCAGAGCCCTCGCTGGCTTGCAGCCCACCAGGAAGGACTGGACTTGAGCAAGAGCCTTGCGCTGCTGGGCTCTGCCGGCACCCGACCTTTGCTCTGCTCCGTCGGTCACGTCTCACAGCCGCCGCTGTGGAAGGGGCAGTGCAGGGCGATCACAGCGGAGGAGCCGGGCACGGCAGCAACCCCAGGGCGGGGGGAAGTGCCGCCAGTCTCTTCGGACCCCCTTCCCATGGGGGGGACATGGGACAGAAGGGAGATACAGGCCACGGGATGGAGCGAGGGGCCACAGCACTGTCGCGGGCTGTGCAGGGCATCCTGCCTGTGTTTTTGGAGATAAGACAGACCCTGTTTCTTGAAGCCTTTCCTCACTTTGCCGTGGCTTGGGGTCTTCTTGATCCCCACCCACGTGCCTTTGGGTGGGTTTTAACTGTCTCCCTCTCCCGACACTCTGCCACTCCGAGTAGCCTGGAAACCTCCCTCGTTCTCCCCACCACGAACCCGGGTCCTGGCTTCCAGCACGCTGCATCCCAGCAGATTTTTGTGACGGCTGCTGCCAGACGGGCCAGGAGGGCATCGTCAGTGCAGAGTGGCTCTGCAGGCCCCCCCCACCCCGCCGCTG